TTGAGACAGGCGTGTTAAATCACCAAGCACAGCCTGGATAAATGGGAAAGACCTTCCTGTGTCAAGATTAAATAAATATTTTTGAGTGTACCTCCACTTTAAGCTAACTTGTGTAATGTTTCTGAGGCCCTGAGTTAAGTCAGTAACACTGAAAAGAAAAAGGCACTTAGTGCAAATCTTACTTTTAATTTTGAATTTTACTCCTTTTTCACACTAGCGGTGCATGCTACAATATCTGGGGATAACAGTGATGAGTCACTGCTCAGAATCAGGACACTACAGATGGAAAACTTGTGATTTTAAAGTATATTATGTTTTATAAAGTACATTTAGTATGTTATTATGAATTTTGCTTTGTGTTACATAAATTTCCCCAAATACAAATGATTGTTGTGGTGAGCAGGTTTAAAAGATCCAAAGCTTACCAATGATGTTTGCTTAGTCAGGCATATTTGTGCATTTTCAGTAAATTTTATTTTCAATTTCCTGTGGGTTCAACAAGATATTTTCCCTTTCAAACTCAGGTAGCATCTGTAGACTCAGTCTTTCAGTTCTTCGTATGGTCCTCTGTAGCACATGACTTTCACCAGATTGTTTCACTGTTTTGTTATTGTTTTTGCTTTTGTATTTATTTTGAGATGGCTTCTTACTGTGCAGTTCTGGCTAGGCTTGAACTCACTGTATAGCCCAGGCTGGCCACATATTCAAGAGATGCTCCTGCCTCTGCCTCCCATGTGCAGGCATTACAGGTATGCACCACCATGCCATGTATTTTTTTCTATGGAGTGCTGTACTGACCAGATTCTTTAGAGCAATCAAATCAGGAAGACAGTATAATACTGTTTGGAAAGAGGAACACTACTATGGGAATTTTTCTTTGTTTTGGAATTTTTTGGGGTCTGTGTGTATGAGTTCTATGCAGAGGTTCCCTACTGTGGCTATCGTGTTTGGATAACATCACCAATATAAGGAAGATAGGATGGAAATTTTCAGTGGACAGACGAAGGACTGATTAATAAACAGAAGACACCAAGCATGTGGAAGGTTTAATAGAAAACATTTCCATTCCTTGTATACTAATTATGGGAAAATTTCTTAGTTTTTTTTGTTTTTGTTTTTTGTTTTTGTAATGGGAATCAAACTCATGACCTCGCACTTGCTGGGCAAGTGCTGTGCTGCTGACCTACATCCCCATCCCAATTTTATTTTTTTATTTATTTATTTGTCTTTTTGAGACAGGGTCTCGCTGTGCAGTTCAGGCTGGCCTTGAGCTCACTTTGTAGCCCAGGCTGGTCTCAAATTTGCAGCTATCCTCCTGCCTCAGCCTCCAGAGTGCTGGGATTATAGGTGTGCACCACCACGCCCAGCTTTCTTACTGTTTTAAATGTGAATCATTATCCACCTTTCCTTTTTTTTTTTTTTGGTACTGGGAATCGAACCCATGACCTCAGGCTTGCCAGGCAAGTGCTTATGCCATGAGCTATATCCTTGGCCCATTATCCACCTTTCTACACTGGG